ATGAAGAGGATGAAGACATTTCCAGGAAGGTATGGGAAAGGCCCTGAGATGGTACCCATGGAAGGATGTTTGAAATCAAAACAATGTAGCAGTAACTGAGGGCAGATCTGAAGTAAAGGCTTTATACAGGAATATATTTGGAATAATTTAGGTGGAAAGAAAAGTCAGGAAAAATGTGGAAGGCCTTGAATGATTTCATCCCTGATACACTGTTGGTGGGAGTAGTAAATTTATACAGCTTTCTAGTGAGCAGTTTGGCAGTATTTCTCAAAATGCATATAACCTTTGATTTAACAATCCCACTTCTAGGAATTTATTTTAAGGATATAATCAGAGAAGATCTCAAAAATATGCGTAAAAGGATGTTTACTGTAGCATTATTTATAATATAAAAATAAAACTATCTCACATACCAAATTGGTAATAACAGTGTCTCCACCTATGGAATCCAATGCAACAATGCAAGCTGGCTTTTCAGGATTACTAAGGAGATGGAAAGACAATGTAAATATGAAGTGAAGAAAGCAAATCATAAAATGTCTTTATACAATATGATTCTGCAGGGGCAGAAAACTTTTCCCTTCTTCCCTTCCAGTTTCTTTGCCTGGCCTAATAATTAACTTGACATAAGATAGATTAACAGGAGAAAAACAAATTTAATTTCATAAGTACAGGAGCCCAATAAAATATGTAAGACTCAAAGAAGTGACTGAAGCAGGCAGCTTTTATACCTGCTTGACAAGGAAACAATAAATTTGTAAAGAATTGACAAGACAAAGGAGTTTGGGCCTGGAGTAGTAAATTAGTGAAGAAGTAACAAGGTTTGTTTATATAGCCGTCTCAGCCCTAAATTCCCTGTCTCTGGTGATAAGGATGCCTTCTAGCCTCCTGGTACCAGGAGGGTTCCTTTCACATAGGATATTTATTTCCTGCTTTCAGGGGTACAAAGGAGGGTCAGAGTGTTCTTGCACCAGCTGTTTCTTAGGTAACTTTAATCCAAAGTAATTGATACACCAAAATGGCATATTTGGGGGTAGCATATTCTACTTTCCTTCAATTCAAAATTTTTAAAGGTTGTATAAGGTGGGCAAGGAATACACCAAAATGTTAACTGTGGTAAATGGGTGCTTTTTTTTTTTTTTTTTTAAACAATCAATGTTTACCTGTCCTGTGCTCCATCCCCTCAGGGCCAATCTGATAAACTGTGATAAGTGGTGGAGGACACTCAGTGCAGTGCAGTATAGTGCGGACAGCTGCCTCTCCCAGGGACAATGGCTCTCTTACAAACAGAGGCTTCCTGAAACCAGTGCCTGAAGTCCAAGGCTCAGCGGAAGGCTTGCAGTGCAGACGTTTTAAAGGGAAGTAAGCTTTCAGTTTCTCAGATGACACCAAGTAAGAACAGGGGCTTCAGTTAGTGTTTACTTAGATGCCAGGCATTGTGCTAGTGTTTCTCATAGATGGTCTCATTTAAACTCCCAACAGTCTAATAAGTTAGGTACCAGTATTCTCATTGTATATATGAAGAAACTGAGGTACAGAGAGGTTAAATAATTTCCTCAAGGACACACAACCAGCAAGAGATGGAACCAGGATCCAAATGTAGATAATGACTCCAGAGTCCATACTGACCACTACACTCACCCACCCATTTTAATGGAAGACAGAAAAAAAAAAATCCATCCTATACAGCTCCTCATCCTAGGGTCACCTGCTGCAGTGTCCTTGGTGGTGGAGTTAGGCAGCATATGATCCAATAGAAAAAATCTGGATGGGGCCTGTGGGAGCCCTCTGGTACTGGGTCTGGCACCTACGAGCTTTGTAACTTTGGGCAAGTCATAATGCCTCCAAGCCTTGACTTTCGTACGCATATAAGGCAAATAATATTCCTTGACCTGCAGGCCTCCCAGGATGGCTATGAAGATCAAAGGAGACAAAACACATGAAAGTCCTGTGAAAACTATCTAGTGCCATACAAGTAAAAGGTATTATTAGTCATAATACTAGCATGGAACTCTCAGAGTCTTAAGATTGGACACCAGATTGCTCTGAGAAGCTCCTCCAAGGGTCATTCTCAAGGAGTATACCATATGACAACACAGACATTTGCTCCAGCTGGGGCCTGACAATCGTGATGTGCTATTTGGAACAAAGCACCTGATTTGCACCACAGTGCAACGCACTGTGTAGTAACACCTACCCATGACTAATGGACAGAGGTGAGCTGAATAATGTCATTCACACAATCCAAGTCCTGGCCTGGAAAGCCATTCAGAGAACTTACTCTGAGATTCAGGCCTAGTAAGGTCCTTCTTGATTCACAAGGCAGAACATAAGAGGCAAACAATTGATGGTGCCCACCACAGACCAGGCCCCTGCCTGTGCTAGGCCCCTTAAAAACATCTTCTCTAAGCCTCAGAGCATACCTGCTATTATCTGCATTTTACAGTTAAGAGAGTTGAGGCTCAGAGAGGTTAATGGGCTTGCCTACCAGAGAGCTAAAGGGCTAAAGAGAAAATACTGACACAATTTTGTTCCTCCATTTCTGTTCCAGTAAAGATATCTAAACTCTTTTTTGGTTCAGTCCCTCCAAAATGAAGATAATTAATAAATCAAATTATCTCCTGGGTTTCTCTTGACATGTTAGGTGAGTAAAACTGACATTTATCCAAAATATTTTATTATAATATATATCAATATTTTGAAACCAATGTATGGCTGCCAGACTCTTATAAAAATCATTTGAATTTAATAGAAAGTAGTTTTGTCTAACTTTTTTCTCAAATAACAGGGAAAGGCTTTTGATTTTTAACTGAGAGAAATGAAAGGAATATTTACAACAAATATGGCCCATTCTTAATGTCAGTAATAAACTCATGTAATTCTATAAGTTTGTTTAACACATAAACAAATTGCCCCCAAAATGAGCAGACAGTTCACAAAGGAAGAAATATAAATTTTTATCAAACATATGGAAGCTCACGAATAATGAAGTCAATTCAAAGTAAAACAATGATATCCCACATTTCATATGTTGACTAAGTAGAGATTTTTAACTTTTTAATATTTAATGTTGGTAAGTGTGCATTCTCATGAACTGCTGGTAGAACTGCATATCAGCACCTTTCTAGAAAGTGACTTGGTAATGTGTATAAAGATCCTTCAACAATATGCTCTTTTTTAAAAAAATTTTTTCTTTATTTTTTTTATTTTGGGCTGCGTTGGGTCTTTGTTGCTGTGTGTGGTTTTCTCTAGTTGCGGCGAGTGGGGGCTACGCTTTTGCTGCGGTGAGCGGGCTTCTCATTGCAGTGGCTTCTCTTTTTGCAGAGCACGGGCTCTAGGTGCGCGGGCTTCAGTAGTTGTGGCACGTAGGCTCTACAGAGCAGGCTCAGGAGTTGTGGCGCTCGGGCTTAGTTGCTCCGTGGCATGTGGGATCTTCCCGGACCAGGGCTGGAACCCGTGTCCCCTGCGTTGGCAGGCAGATTCTTAACCACGGCGCCACCAGGGAAGTCCCCAATATGCTCTTTGACTATGGTAGATTAAATATGGCCACAAATTCCTTGTCACTTCCCCCGCCTCTGGAATCTGACCTGTGACTACTTTGACCGAGAGCGCATGGTGGAAGAGACTCTGTGCCAGTTCCAGGCCTAACCTTTAAGAGGACTGGCAGCTTCCACCTCCTCCCTCTCTGAACCCAGTGGAGATGCCCACCTTGGAGGGGAACTGAGGCCCCAGCCAACAGCCAGCACCAACTTGTCAGTCATGTGAAAGTTACCTCGGAAGTGGATCCTCTAGCCCCAGCCAAGCCACCCCAGCCAGCTAACACGTGGAGCAAAGACAAATTGTCCCCAAATTGCAAGCAAATGAATGATTGCTGTTTTAAGTTTTAAGTGACTAGGTTTTAAGTTTGGAGGACATGTTACACAGAATATTGACCTGATATTGATCCAATAATTTTGCTTCTAGAAATGTATCCTCAGGCACTAATCAGGAATGCAGACAAAGGCTTACACCCAAACATTTCTTGCAGAGAAGTTTCGAGGAATGTTAATGTCTAAATTAGGAAAAATGATCATGTAGGTCGCAGTATAACCAGTATGAAAGTAATTCAAATGTTAGCAATATGGTAGAGTACTTATGATAGACTTTCAGGTGGAAAAAGTCATAAAAAGAACTATGAATATAAAAAGGAAAAAAATTAAAAGTTAATAGTGGTTATTTCTGGGCAATAGAATAATGAGTGATTTTATTCTGACCTTCACATTTTTGTGATAATTGCACAAAATAGAAAAAATAAATCTTAAAAATGAGAAAACTATCAACTTGTAAAATCTGTCCATAGATAAACAAATAAATAAAGCTCCCTTTTAACTATAGCTTCAAACTTTTTCATAAAACCATTTTACCAAGGCATTCAGCAATATTGATGTTGAATCATCTGCTATTTCTCATAATTGACAGGCTGATAAGCAGTTACACTGCAATTTTAAAAGTCAGCAGGAGGAATAAAGACGCAGGCGTAGAGAATTGACTTGAGGACACAGGGAGGGGGAAGGGTAAGCTGGGACGAAATGAGAGAGTGGCATGGACATATATGCACTACCAAATGTAAAATAGATAGCTAGTGGGAAGCAGCCACATAGCACAGGGAGATTAGCTCAGTGCTTTGTGTCCACCTAGAGGGGTGGGATAGGGAGCGTGGGAGGGAGATGCAAGACCGGGGAGACATGGGGATATATGTTTATGTATAGCTCATTCACTTTGTTATACAGCAGAAACTAACACACCACTGTAAAGCAATTATACTCCAATAAAGATGTTAAAAATAAATAAATAAATAAAAGTCAGCAGGAGACAGACTTATTAGCAAAGGGCTTTGATAATCCATAAACTGGATGTAAAAAATCCTGAATAATTAAGCAGTTCTAATGATGTGGCAGAAAGCAAAATAACTGAAGAAAAAGCTTCAAAAAATCAGATTAACATCATTGAAAATCTGTTACCTGCCAGGAAAGTTCCTAGAGCCATGTCACTTAATCCTCTCAACAGCCTTGTGAGGTAGGTGTTATTCCCATTGTACAGATGAGGACGCGGTGGCCTTGATGGAACTTCCTACAGCCTCCAAATGCAGAGCCGAGAGTTGGGTTCAACGCACATGTTTTTTCCACAGTACCGGGCCATTCCACTCCAAGGTCAGGGTTCAACATTCTTACAGGATGAAAAAGAATATATTAAACATATAAACTTTTTGAAAAAGCTTTTCTTTCATTCTAACACAATTCATTAAAATATATTTAACTGAACTTTGTGAACTTCTTTTGCAGGATCATTTTCTTCTTGCATAACTTGAAGTAATCCTTAAAAAGTCAATGCCAATGCTGTAAGAAGCCTAGACTATTCTCGAGCAATTAGAAGGTGTTGCGGGGAGGCCAGGCTGACAAAGCAGAGGTACTTGTCCTCTCTCTCACAGCATCTCTGAGAAACCCTGTCTTTAGCGTGACTGAGTCTTTCAGTAAGTTGCAACCTGGCTGTGCTCGTTGGTTTTATTCACTCTTCATACCTGTTTTATTCTGTTTCCAATAGGCCATATCCATTTTGGGAGCCAAGATGTGAGGGATCAGTACCACAGAGAAGCCCCACAGGGCATCTGGCAGGATAATGTGGAGAGCCAGATTTCAACCAAGCCCAGGGGTTTTTGTTTGTTTTTAAAGACAGTGGTTTGTTTTTAAAGACAGTAGTTTGTTCTGTTTGTTGTTAAAGAAGAGTAACTAATGATAATAACAGCTAAGATTTCCATAGTGTTTATATGCATCAGCTCTGTGCTGTGTATTTTGTTTGTGAACATTATCCTACTTAATCCTCACAACTCTAGGAGGTAGGCACTATTTTTACCTTCATTTTACAGATGAAGATGTGAGGTCTCAGACCCCAGATAGGTGGTGGTCAGGGTATGAATTGTTTGTCCCATCTCAGTCCATGCTCCTAACTGCCACATGAACTGTAGTAGTCAGGCTGGAGTTTCAAAGAGAGGCCTGCTTCTGTCCCTTTCTGTCAGTTCCTGCGGGAGCCCCGAGTATGAGCAAAAGGAGAAGGGCCATAGCCAGGAGAATGGAGAAATGGGAATCCTAGTCGCGCAAGGCCAAGCTGCAGGGTGGCTCTTCCCAGAGCCAGGGCTGCTTGCCATCTAGTTCCAAACTTCTAAGGACTCTGAGTCTTCTTTTAAATGTACTTCTATTCATTCATCATTCCCTATATCTAAAGGGATATAAGGGAGTTTACAATGATAGACAAAATATAACATGAAGTAAGAAAGAAAAATAAGAGTGGTAAGTATTCAATGGCCGACATAAAATCATGATCAGTAATCATCACAGATCACAGTGTTCAGTAGATTGAAATAAACCAGTGGCTCAAGACAAGCACAACTAATGCCAATATTAAGATCAGTAAAATATTTCCTCCTGAAAGCAAAGGGGCACAGTGCAGTGTGATGAGCAGTGCCCTCTGCATCTCCAAATGATTAAACACCAGGCAGCAAAGCACAGTGGTTAAGAACACAGACTCTGGAGCCAGATTGCCTGGGTTCCACCACTTTCTAGCTGAGTAATCTTGGGCAAGTTATTTAAGCTGTTTGTGCCTCAGTTTCTTCATCTATAAATCGGGACTGGGGAAATATGGAAGACTGAATGAGATAATGGATATAAAGCCTTCAGAACGGTGTGGGGCATGCGGGAAGCACTGTGTCTGTGTGCTGTTATCATCAGCCTGGTTTGGAATATAATAGACACTTCCTACCTCAGGACCCCTGTCCTCACTGCTCCCTCTGCCTGGGACAACTTTTGCCCCCATTATACAGATGGCTCACTCCTTTCTCTCCTTCAAACCTTTGGTCTAATGTCACTTTCTCGGTGAGGCCTTTCCAGACAACACTATTTAAAACTGAAATGCTTTCCCTACTTGTCTCCATCAAACCAGCAAGCTACATCTCCTTCCCCAATTCAATTCTCTCCTTCTCATGAGCTCTTCTCATGCTCAGATAACCAATTACTTCATTTCCTCTGTTTTTTGTCTATCTTCCATCACTAAATGAGGGCAGGTTTCTGTTTTATTCACTGAACAATTACCAACACCTACAACAGAGCATGACAGAGAACAGACACCCAATAAACCCATGATGAACAAACTAACCAACACATTCATCATTGTACAATTGCAGGGTCCTTTTGAAACACCTGTAAGGGCAAGTCAGTCAGTCAAAAAGAGAACCTGTAAATTGTCTGGACTTTTCAATCTTCTGATAATAATTTGAGAAAGACTTTGAGAGGCTTACAAAATTTTATAGTGACAAAGGTTACTCCACTGAAATTTTAGGTGATGTGTACTGTTTTATACTCTTGGAGTGAGTTTAGAATTAGTGACTAAGAGTCACTTCCAGCAGAGGAACAGCTAGAGGAAATTGTCAAAATGCAGAGTAAGAATAAAGCATTACTGGAATTAAGTCATCACTCTGTCAGTTCTTAATGGAGCCAGTCCAAATAAATCATAGGTTTTACTATCCAGTTCTCTCCTGACAGCAAAGCAAGGACAGGAAAGCTGGTTATTAATGAGACATCGTATTTCATGCCTCAGAAGAACTCAAAATTCTGAATTTCCTAAGACAAAGGCAAGTGTTGAGTGCAGAACTTGGGGAGAGACATCAAGACATATGGGGCTCCCACTTAGTACTAAGACTTACATGACTGCACAGGCCTAAGTGGTGACTGGCCGTCTTTCAGTCACTGAAGGGCAATCTAGCAGAACGGAAAACATGCCACAGAAAGGGCAACAGAAGGCAACAAGGTGAGTCAAGCTCCAGGTGAAGCTGGGAAACTCTCCCAGTCCCAAAGGCAGATTGATCCATGTCATCCACATGTGGTAGAAAGCCAACCTCAAAGGAGCAGCCATTTCTATACACCACTCTTCGGTCAAACAAAAGAGTTTGGGGGTACTCTTAACTTTCCGATGGCTGAAGTATGAGAGCCAGGAATACTTCCATGAGATATTCTTCATAAGGTTTTCAGAAAAAGAAAGTTGATTGACTAGGCTGCAATTCTGGCCATTCTGTTGTTGTCCTTGTCTGTTGTCATGGAAATTGTGGCCTGAACACAGATCTCACTGAGGTTCCCAACTGAGAGAACTGTGTGGCATGGATTGCTGGCTGTGAATGAGGCTGTGCTTGTCTCTTGTTACCCTTTTTGGTTTAAAGTCTATTTTGTCTGATATAAGTATAACATACCCCTGCTCTCTTTTCTTTTCCACTTGCATGAAATGTTTTTTTCCATCTCTTCACTTTGAGCCTATGTGTGTCCTTAAGGCTGAAGTGAGTCTCTTATAGGCAGCATATAGTTGGGTCTTGTTTTTTAATCTATCCAGCCCCTCTGCCTTTTGATTGTTGAATTCAATCCATTTACATTTAGAGTAATTATTGACAATTAAGGGCATACTAATGTCATCTTATTAATTGCTTTCTGGATGTTTTGTAGTTCCATTGTTCCCTTTTTCCTCTCTTTCTGCCTAACTTTGTGAATTGGTGATTTTCCATGGTGGTATATTCTGATTCCCCTCTCTTTATTTTTTATGAATCTACTAAAGGTTTTTGCTTTTGGGGTTACCATGAGGCTTACATAAAACATCTTATAGCTAAAACAGTCCATTTTAAGTTGATAGCAACTTAACTCCAATCACATGTAAAAGCCCCACCCTTTTACTCCTCCCCCTTTTTTGTTTTTGATGTCACAATTACCTCTTCTTGTATTGTGTATTTGTTAACAAATTAAGGTACCTATAGTTATTTTTAATACTCTTGTTCTTTAACTTTTACACTACACTTAAGTGGCTAACACACCATCATATTACAGGTATTAGAGTATTCTGAATTTAACTATAAACTTACCTTTACCAGTATATTCTATACTTTCTTTTTTTTTATTGAATTATAATTGACATACAATATTATGTTAGTTTCAGGTGTACAACATACTGATTTGATGTTTAAATGATTACCATGATAAGTCTAGTTACCATCTGTCACCATACAGAGTTATTATAATATTATTGACTATATTCTCTATGTCGTATATTATATCCCTATGATTTATTTATTTTCTAGCTGGAAGTTTGTACCTATTAATCTCCTTCACTTACTTCACTCCTCTTCCCCATCTGCTTCCCTCTGGCAGCCATCAGTTTGTTCTCTGTATCTATGAGTCTTTTTTTTTTTTGGCTATGCCACATGGCTTGCAGCATCTCAGTTCCCCAACCAGGGATTGCACCCGGGCCACAGCAGTGAAAGCCCAGAATCCTAACCATTAGGCCACCAGGGAACTCCCTCTATGAGTCTTTTTTGTTTTGCTTTGTTTGTTCATTTGTGTTGTTTTTTAAATTCTACATATGAGTGAAATTATATGGTATTTGTCTTTGTCTTACTTCACTTAGCATAATACCCTCTAGGTCCAACCATGTTGTCACAAATGGCAAGATTTCATTCTTTTTTATGGCAGAGTATATATAGATAGGTATATACCTATATATGAATATTGCTCATTAATAGATATATGGATATATATATACCACATCTTCTTTTTCCATTCATCTATCAGTGAGAGTTTAGGTTGCTTCCATGTCTAGGCTGTTGTAAATAATGCCATAATGAACATAGAAGTTTATATAATTTTTTAAATTAGTGTTTTCATTTTCTGCAGATAAATACCCAGGAGTAGAATTGCTGGATTGTATGGTAGCAGGCATATTGTATGGTATGAATTTTCTGAGGAATCTCCATACAGTTTCCCATAGCGGCTGCACCAAATGTGTTTGTTGGCCATCTGCATGTCTTCTTTGGAAAAATGTTTATTCAGATCCTCTGCCCATTTTTAAAATTGTATTGTCTGTTTTTTTGATGTTGAGTTTTTTATATATTTCAGATACATATCAAATACATCATTTGCTAGTATCTTCTCCCATTCCATAGGTTGCCTTTTCATTTTGTTGATAGTTTCCTTACTATTACTGTAGCTTTGTAGTATAGTTTGAAATCAAGGAGTGTGATACCTCCAGTTTTGTTCTTCCTCAAGATATATTTGTCTGTTCAGGGCCTTTCATGTTTCCATATAAATTTTAGAATTGTTTGTTCTAATTCTGTGAAAAGTGCCACTGGTATTTTGATAGGGATTACACTGAATCTGTAGATTGCCTTGGGTAGTATGGTAATTTTAACAATATTAATTCTTCCAATCCAGGAGCATGGGTTATCTTTCCATTTGTTTGTGTCATCTTCAATTTCTTTCATCAGTGTCTTACAGTTTTTTTGAGTGTAGGCCTTTTACCTCCTTGGTTAGATTTATTACTAGGTATTTTATTCTTTTTGATGCAATTGTAAATGGGATTGTTCTCTTAATTTCTCTTTCTGATAGTGTTGTTAGTGCATAGAAATGCAACAGATTTCTGTATGTTAATTTCATATCTTACAACTTTACTGAATACCTTGATGAGTTCTAATATCTTTGTGATGGCATTTTTAGGATTTTCTATGTATAGTATTATGTCATCTGCAAGCAGTGACAGTTTTATTTATTCCTTTCCAATTTGGATGCCCTTTCTTTCTTTTTCTCATCTGATTGCTGTGACTAGGACTTCCAATACTATGTTGAATAAAAGCGGCTAGAGTGGAATCTTTGCCTTGTTCCTGATTTTAGAAGAAATGCTTTCAGCTTTTCACCTTTGAGTATGATGTTAGCTGTGGGTTTGTCAGATATGGCCTTTATTATGTTGAGGTATGTTCTCTCTATACCCACTTTGTTCAAAGTTTTTATCATAAATGGATGTTGAATTTTGTCAGAAGCTTTTTCTGCATCTATTGAGATAATCATAAGGTTTTATTCTTCAGTTTGTTAATGTGGTGTATCATATTTATTGATTTGCAGATATTAAACCATCCTTGCATCTCTGGGATAAACCCCACTTGATCATGGTTTATGATCCTTTTAATGTATGGTCAACTTCAGTTTGCTAGTATTTTGTTGAGAATTTTTGCATCTGTGACCATCAGTGATATTGACCTGTAATTTTATTTTTTTATAGTGTCTTTGTCTAGTTTTGGTATCTGGGTGATGCTGGTCTTGTAAAATAAGTCTGGAAGCATTCCTTCCTCTGCAAGCTTTTGGACTAATTTGAGAAGGATAGATGTTAACTCTTTTTTAAATGTTTGGTAGAATTCACCCGTGAAGCAATCTAGTCCTGGACTTTTTTTTGTTGGGAGTTCTCATTGCGGTTTTGATTTGCATTTCCCTGATGATTAGTAATGCTGAGCATCTTTTTATGTGTTTGTTAACCATCTGTATGTCTTCTTTGGAAAAATATCTCTTCAGCTCCTCTGCCCATTTTTTAATCAGGTTGTTTCTTTTTTAGATATTGAGCTGTCTGAGCTCTTTATATATTTTGGATATCAACCCCTTACCAGATACATCATTTGCAAGTATCTTCTCCCATTCAGTCAGCTGCCTTTTCATTTTATTGATGGTTTCCTTCACTGTGCAAAAGCTTTTTAGCTTGATGTAGTCCCACTTGTTTATTTTTGCTGTTCTTACACTTGCCTGTGGAGACATGCAAAAAAAAAAAAAATTGCTAAAACTGACGTCAAAGAGCTTATAAGCCTTTGTTTTCTTCTAGGATTTTTGGTTTCAGGTCTTACATTTAAGTCTTTAATCTATTTTCAGTTTATTTTTTATATCATTTAAGAGTGTGTTGTATATTTTTTAGGTTACTAATTAGCATCCTTACATTTCTGCTGGAAGAACTCCTTTCAGCATTTCTTGTAAGGTATTTTTAGTAGTGTTGAACTCTCTCAGTTTTTGCTTTTCTGGGAAAGTCATTATCTCTCCTTCATTTCTAAAATATAACTTTGCCAGATACAGTATTCTTGGTTGGCAGTGTTTTTTCTCTTAGCACTTTGAACGTATCATCCCACTCTCTTCTGATGTAAGGTTTACACTGAGAAATCCACTGGTAGCCTTATGGGGGTTCCCTTGTAATTTCCAAGCTTCTTTTCTCTTACTGCTTTTAAGATTCTCCCTTTGTCTTTAAATTTTAACAGTTTTAGTATAATGTGTCTTGAAGAGAATTTCTTAAAGCTGAGTTTGTTTGGTGACCTATGAGATCCATAAACTTGGATATCCAAATCTCTGTCCAAATTTGAGAAGTTCTCGGCTGTTATTTCCTTAAATAAGCTTTCTGCCCCTTTCTCTTCCTCTCTTGCTATTGGAACTCCAATAATTCACAAAGTATTTTTTTTCATGCTATCCCATAAATCACATAGGCTTCCTTCATTCTTTTTCCTTTGTTCTCTGACTGGATACCTTCAAAGTTCCTATCTTCTAACTCACAGATTTTTCCTTTGGCTTGATCCATTCTGATGTTGATGCTCTCCATTTCATTTTTCATTTCATTCCTTGTATTCTTCAGCTCCAGAATTTTTATTCACTTCTTTATGATTTCTGTCTCTTTGTTAAACTTTTCATTTTGTTTATGTATTGTTTTCCTGATTTTTTTGAACTGTATTTTCTTGTAGCTCATTAAGTTTCCTTAAAACAACTATTTTGAAATCTTTATCATGTAAAGTACAGATTTTCATGTCTTTGAGATCAGTTATTGGAAAATAATTATAATCCTTTGGTGATTTCCTGTTTCCTAGATTTTTTCATGTCCTTGAAGTTTTGTGTTGCCATCTTCTCATTTGAAGTAACAGTCTCTTCCTTTAGTCTTTATTAACCTCCTTTGAGAAAGAAATACCTTCCACCAGCCCTGCTAGTGATTCTGAGGCTTTCTACCTGCTTCATGCTTCTTGCTCCCTCTTGTGGAAGAATTCCTAATTTATAGGCATACATTGAAGATATCGCAGGTTCAGTTCTAAACCACCACAATAAAGTGAATACCGCAATAAAGTCACATGATGTTTTTGGTTTCCCAATGCATATAAAAGTTATGTCGGGCTTCCCTGGTGGCGCAGTGGTTGAGAGTCCGCCTGCCGATGCAGGGGACGTGGGTTCGTGCCCCGGTCCGGGAAGATCCCACATGCCGCTGAGCGGCTGGGCCCGTGAGACATGGACGCTGAGCCTGCGTGTCCGGAGCCTGTGCTCCGCACGGGAGAGGCCACAACAGTGAGAGGCCCGCATACCACAAAAAAAAAAAAAAAAAAAAAAAAAGTTATGTCTACACTATACTGTAGTCTAGTAAGTGTCCAATAGCATTATGTCTAAAAAATGTACATATCTTAATTAAAAAATACTTTGTTGCCAAAAAATACTAACCATCATCTGAGGCTTCAGCAAGTTGCAATTTTTTTTGCTGGTGGAGGGTCTTGCCTCGATGTTGATGGCTGCTGACTGGTCAGGCAGGTGGTTGCTGAAGTGTGGGGTGGCTGTGGCGATTTCCTAAAATAAGACAGGAATGAAGTTTGCCACATCAATTCCTGCTTTTACAAATGATTCTCTGTAGCACACAATGCTGTTTGATAGCATTTTACCCACAATAGAACTTTTTCTAAAATTGGAATCAATCCTCTCAAACCCTGCCGTTGCTTTATCAACTAAGTCTATGTAATATATGTAATATTCTAAATCCTTTGTTGTCATTTCAACAATCGATTAAGTTCACTATCTTATATGGGCACAGTTTGTGGCACCCCAAAACAATTACAATAGTAACATCAAAGATCACTGATCATAGATCACCATGACAAATATAATTATAATGAAAAAGTTTGAAATATTGTGAGAATTACCAAAATGTGACACAGAGACACAAAGTGAGCAAATGTGGTTGGAAAAATGGCACCAATAGACTTGCTCAACACAGGGTTGCCACAAACCTTCAATTTATAAAGAACACAATAACCTGCAAATTGCAGTAAAGCCATGCACAATAAAATAAGATATATATTCACTACCAAACGTAAAACAGATAGCTAGTGGGAAGCAGCCGCATAGCACAGGGAGATCAGCTCAGTGCTTTGTGTCCACCTAGAGGGGTGGGGTAGGGAGGGTGGGAGGGAGACGTAAGAGGGAGGAGATATGGGGATATGTGTATATGTATAGCTGACTCACTTTGTTATAAAGCAGAAACTAACACACCATTGTAAAGCAATTACACTCCAATAAAGATGTTTAAAAAAAAGATATGCCTGTATACCTTCTCTTGATTTTGCAACAAACCAGGCTGAGTACTGATGGCCTCCTTTTTGTTTTTACAGAAGTAGCACTAAAACTCAAGTTTGTAGGTTCTCCCTGGTCCGCAGATTCAGGTCGATTTTCTGTACATGCTCACTAGCCATTTGCCAAAGCTCACTCTTGCTGCCACCAGTGGGAGCATGCACAGGGAGCCAACACAGTAGGCCGGGGGTGGGGGGGGAATGAAGCACACTGAACACTGGGGGTACCCATAGGCCAGTTGGGGGGATCTGCTGGCAAGGTGCCCCCAGCAGCTCATGGGCAAGCTTCTTGATGGAGTCTGTGACACAGGAGAATCTGTGTCCCTTTGACGCCCTCCAAGAGTCCAATCTGGTGCCCTCCCAGTCTTCCCCTGCACCTGCCCAGTCATGCAGCTCACAACTCAGTACCCTGGATGGGTGAGAGAAATGAGCCTCGAGAGTGTCCCACACAATGGGGAATCCAGGTGCTCATTCACACACTCTCATTTCCCCCACTGGAGAAATCACAGGCTGAGAAGATCTGTCTTGGCCCTAAGCAGTGCCATCTTGGGGATGGGGTGATGCAGGTAGTCAAATTGTTCCTCTTACCCACTCCATTGCATCCAAACTCATATGTTTTTGTTTCAGTGGTGTGCTAGGATTTTTCCACTGGAAATTTTGACTTCCCCAAAGGCTCTCTTGCTCATGGATGACTAGGACAGTGTTTTCCAGGGGCTCCTGGACTGTAGCCAAGAGGGACTGGAGCCGGTTCACAGGTCATTGCAGGGTCCAAAGCCAGGACCAAGGTCCAGTTGCCTATTATCTGTCACATGAGTGGGCAAGACTCTTCCTGGACCTCTTCACCTATGAGGCTGGATCCCACAGCTCCCACAAAGGCACTTTTGTCCCTGGATGGATGCCAAATTGTTGTTGGGGGAAGGCCACAAATGAGTGATGTCTTATTCAGCCATATGGCTGACATCACTCCCCAAACAGCTCAGCCCTGTATCTTTCAGCAAACTGAGAAATTCATGAATGGAAAAACGTGGACATCCCAGCTTTATTTACCACAAAATTCTTGGATCCATCAACTACCTAACTCTTAACCTCCAGCTACATTCCTATAATTCCCAGATTTATTCCTGTCCAATATTGCCTCTAAACTTTGAACACTGTCCCCCACTGTCCATCCCATGCTTGTCCTTTGGATCTGAAATGGACTTGGCTTCTCTGATTTGACCCCCTCCGTATTTCCTGGCTCATCCACCCTGAGTATCTACTCCAGGAGATCAAGCCTAGGCTCCCAGACCAAACTAGTCATTATCCAGATGCTTATCTGACATCTGCTTGGGAAGAAGTGGGAAACAGTACGTGATGGTTGGACATGCTACAATAATCATGAGTATAGTCAGGAGGGCACAATTCTGCCATGCTGTCTGCTTCTTCTACCACCACCAGCAGCAGCACTTTTCCATGTCCTGGGTGTGTGAGAAGGAGTGGTCTGGCTCAGCTCACCACCACCAGAAGCAACAACTGATTTATCACTAAACTGAGAGACCAAGGCATGAAAGTAGACAAGACTATAAGCTCCCTAGAGGTAAGAATTATGTGTGTCTTATTCATAATTGCCTCTTCAGGGCATGCCAGTGTCTAATATGTGAGTAGGTTCTCAACAAATTTGTTGAAATAATTAATTAGGAAAAGAGTGGTACTGTCTTTGATCTCCATCTTATTGTCCTTTAAAGGAATTTAAGTCAATAAACATGTATTGTTCCAATCACGGTGCAAGACCTTGCAAATATATGAATAGATGAAATGAGTTACATGTAATCTTTTCTCTCAAGAAGTTTACAGCTCCCTTTAAGCATAAAGGCAGACACATTTTAGACGCCTGTGTGTTGTTTCACTAGAGTTACAGATAAATAACTACGAGCACAGATAGCACTTTATGGAGTAATTTATTCTGTTAAAGTTGGAAGCCTACAGGGGGAAAAAAGTGACATTTGAGCTGGGCCTTGAAATAGGAAGCAGTATCTCAGGGGAACTTATAATGACAAGAATGAAATTGACCACACAGTGAGGACTCTGTGAAGAACAGCCCAGCCTGAGACCAGAGTGAGTTCAGGGCTGCTAGTGCCCCTCTGGCAGACAGAGCTAACTGTTTGACAGAAGTCTCTATCACAGGAAGCCTAGGACGTACTGGAGATGTCCTAGAAGAACCCTGAGGACATATATTGGGAACTTATGACAACCACAGCTCTCCACCAAGATCAGCCAGTGGTCCATGCAGCTCAGCCTGGAAGATGCCTCAGGACTCTGGTCAGTTCTAAGGCTCCCTCAGAGGGTTTCTGGGTTCTTCTGGGCAGGCCCTGCAGATCCAAGTCTGATGAGGTGGGTCAGAGCCAAGATGGAGAAGTCTGGGACTCAAGAGACGACCTGGAACCACTCGAGTCTCTAAGAGTATAGCTAGCTTTCTGTGCTCACCCCCAGCAGGAATCTCCTGTGCAATTTCCCCAGCTCCTGAGGTCATCAAAACACAGAGCCTCCCTGAAGACTCAGACTAGTCTGAACATATGGGTGTAGACATAAAATGGGGGATACCCTTTTACCTGCAGTCAACTATAGGAAATAGGCTGGAGCCCAGATACTGAAGCCCATGTGGGAAGAAAAAGTCCATGATCCATAAAAATGATGTGGGGATGTATTAAAACCAGAAGTTTGTCTCTCTTGACTATTTAGAAGACAAAATAGCAACTTCACTGAGCAAGAAGCTAGTTACACAAAATTAGAGGAAGTGAGACCCCTAGTAGCACTCAATGCAGGTGACCTAAAGACCCTAAAGAAACACCCCAGGATGAATCAGGATATTCATATATTCCCCTGAAACGTCATCAGGGCTCCAGCTGCAGCACTGCTACTTATTGTTTGCCTGATGTTTCTGTTACTTAAATAAGTGTTATCAATAGAATGTTATAACAGAAAATAATACATTTTCTAAGTAAAAAGGAGCTTCATTGAAATTTATTTGCATTATGAACTAGATTAACGAGTAATGACAATATCTTAATTGGTACAGAGTTTCAGTTTTTAAGATACTTTCCCACTCATCCTTGTATATGGCGCTAATAATCCCTGATGAAGTAGGCAGGTAAGACACTAACAGAGAGGTTAACTGCACCTCCCATGGTTCCACAGTAAAACAGGAGGCAAGCCCAAAGCGGCTAATTCCCAATTCTGTGGTTTCCTAATCCTGGCCAAATATGGCCACCAGGAATACCACTGTGATCCACTCATTTTATTTAGCCATTTCCAGATTTCATCTGTCAGATGCTTTCCATGTGAGTTGCTCAGGTGACGAATTGCTCTGTAGCTGACTGTTCAGCATTCAAAGCACCTTAGTTCTTAATACCTATTACATACTTTACGAAAAGTGTTCATAGTAGTGTTTGAAACAAAATAATTCTCATCTCTTTTCTTTATGATGCATGTTACCTTTGGCATGTAGTAAAAGGAATGTAAAACTAGCTTTATATCAGGCTTTTAAATATCTAAAATCACAATTTGGATAACTATTTTAAGGTAGATAAGATGTGCTGCTAAGTTCTGAGGAAAATTTCATCACAACTGAGACTTTAAAGTCTCCACATATTCCCTTTGTTTTTAATTAATAATTAATTTATTTATTTATGGCTGCATCGGGTCTTCGTTGCTGCATGCAAGCTTTCTCTAGTTGCGGCGAGCAGGGGTTACTCTTCGTTGTGGTGCGTGGGCTTCTCACTGCAGTAGCTTCTCTTGTTGCGGAGCATGGGTTCTAGGCATGTGGGCTTCAGTAGTTGTGGCTGGCAGGCTCCAGAGCTCAGGCTCAGTAGTTGTGGCACACAGGCGTCACTGCTCCCCGGCATGTGGGATCTTCCCGGACCAGGGCTTGAACCTGTGTCCCCTGCATTGGCAGGTGGATTCTTAACCACTGTGCCACCAGGGAAGCCCCTCCCTGATTTTAAACTCTGAATTCAGGAACCAGGAAGGATGCCAGTGAAGTCTTTTACCTGTTTGCCATTGTATGGAAAGTGCCCAGGGCCCAACCCTGAGCAAGCAGGCACTCCCTCGGTGCACACCCACTGGTCCCCCGTCTTTCCCAGGCTGGTCCACTGCACCTCACCTCTAGTCACCCACATGCTCACCACCACCTCAAGACAGGATATGCACCTGCTTCCCCATCCAGTGTTCCACTTGTAGATTTGCCTTGTCTGAATTCCAGCTCTGGTCTCTCTTATTAATCAGCAC